GATTTGTAACAATTTCCAGCTTGACTCCTCCTCTACAAGGATAACGCTAAAATTATTCTTATTCCCTTAAAAAAAAAACAAAAAAAAAAATTCAGAGTAATAATAAATCAAACAATTAAAAGCACGGCCCGACGATGGTTTCATTACGCATAAACCGAAACGGAGAATCTTCTCCTTTTCATCTTTCATTACGCGACAAATTTTTTAATCAAACAACATACATTTAACATTAATGCTGTCGAAAGGGGAGTATCGCCGAGCGCGACTAAGTTTCTATTCCCTCTCCTCCATATATTTTCCGCGATAGTTTCTAATTCTCCTGATTTTCCAAAATTCGGTAATGACCCATTTCGTGATCGCGTGCGCGTAACGTATCTGCGACATATTACCGTGGATCGCGGCTTAATCGAGCGGGACAACGAGCAGGCGGCGGCCACCGGCACCGAAGGACGTCCCTTTCAATTAAGCGATAAGCGTTATCGGGACAGATACGCCGGCAGTCCGAATGTACGTACGTACGTACGACTCGATGGATGAATAGGGCGAGAACGTAACGCGCGCGACCAGTCGCGTCGCGATGAGTTTTTAGCTCCCCCGTCTCGCCCCCCTCCCCCTCCCCTTTCCCCTCGCCGCCGCTCTGATTCGCCCAGTTTATCCCACCCTTCCTCTTCCGCGCTTTTCTTTTGCGTGGTCGCGGGCGCTTTTTGCGCGAGCCGCCCGTTTTTCTCTATCGCTGCGAAATCTCGTTTTCCATGAGGCTCGGCACGATGGAATTCGACGGACTCGAGAATCCGATAGGACGACTGATAAAGCCCTTTATCATCGATATTATCGAACGATATCGCATTAACCCGAAGATTAAAAGCGGTATAATTTCGATGGAACCTTTTCAACTTTTGTCCGGAAAAATCTTTTCAAAATTCCTCGCCGTGAAAATGCATCCTGCATGTGCACGTTGACGACGAGAGATGTCGAAGTGACGAGTGACTTCTCATTTCTTCCACCACGAGCGTCAAAAGGCGAAATATCCCCGGTAGGTAATCGATCGTAGTCTGTATCGTGCAATTAAATCGAATGAGCGAGCCGATGCTCGCGAGCGAGGGTGATCGAGGGGAGAAAACTCAAGACTGCTATCAGGAATGAGGAACGGATGGAGCGAGAGAAGTAATCGTACCTACAAGAACTGGGACATCGCCAACAAATTCGAGTTAGTCGAGTAGAGAGTGGTAAAGTGGTGGCTGCGGTAGGATGGGTGAGAGGCAAATGTCGACTTCGAGCTGCGGCAGGAGATACGAGGGTCGCAGATGCGAGGGATGGCTAGTATTCTGGGAGCAGCGAGCAGGGAGGTTTACAGGGTAGAAAAGAACACACAGTGGCGAGATGTGACGGGAAATCAAAGAGAGAGAGGGAGAGAGAGAGAGAGAGAGAGCGAGTGGAACGAAAGTGGAGAACTACACAATGAGCGAGGAAGAGCGAAAAGGGTAAAAACGGGAAAGGGGGTGACGAAACGGGAAAAAGAGACGAGGCAGAGATACAGAAGGTTCTAACCTCGTAGGGGAAGATTGTTTTCATTCGAGGGCTCAAATTGAAAAGGAGCGAGAAAACCGCGACGCGAAAGCCTGCTAAGTGGCGGGGATTGACTAAAGGGAGCTTGATTTATTTATTTTTTTGCCGAGTGAGGGAAGACTTTTTGAGAGTGACGTGACGCGCAGCATCCCCGAAGAAAAGTAATAAATACATTTTCAGAATGTCCATTAAGTCATCACTAATAACAGATAAAAAAACAGAAAAAAAAATGAAAAGTGAAATTCCGATGAACAGTAAAACGTAATCCTAAACCAGATTGATCGCATTATATTTGTCGCGCGACAAACCGCTTAAAAATCCATCGAATTAACTTCCTTCAAGATGTCACGCCACCTGACTTTGTGTGAGCATCGCGCAAAATCATTGTCTAATACGTTTGGAAGATGGCAATTAACGTGAATAAGCTGGCAAAAGAGATTTAATCGCGCGTTCACGAGCGCATGGCATCGGCGCGATATTATCATGGTTAATTAGAGAGCCGACAAGAACCGATAACTTTTCATTTCTCTTCCAATTAGCATCAGAGAAGCGAATCCGCCGCGTTACATTATCTCCGCTGCAATTTGTGTCGCGGTGACTTGATTTCCCAGCGATTCCAAATGGTCTTACTTTTTCAATTTTTATTAACATTCAACGTGTATTATTATTCGATAAGTTATATAAGTACGAGAAACAGTTAAAAAAAAGTTATAAGCATGAAAATCTTTCCGGAAGTTTCGCCGCACTCGTTAGCGAGAAGAAAAATAACGCATCGAAGAATGCACATTTTTATATTCTTCGATAAATAGATACATACAAGATATATACAAGATACATACAAGATATATATATATATATATATAAAGAAATCTAAAAATATATTCTTTGATATGTATACAAGCGGATCAAAAGTTTATATTAATTTGCGTAAACGAAGGAATTTGGTTTTATTCAATTACTCACAACCGTATTATCCTATATAAATCATTTAATCAAGCAAAACTTTTAACTAATTGAATTTGAATTGAGATGACACGTAGACATTTCCAATTTCCGTTGTTAATAAATCACGTTCGGTAAGCTTTACTCTAATTTTAAAGGACGACTCTCGCGGAGTCGCGGGTCGCGAAATCCACCGACACCGATTAAAATAGCGCCGTCTTTTTAAAGAACGCCCCGATTTCTCGTGCATTATTCGCCGGAAACAATTTCGCGGTGATTCTGATGCCGTGCTACGCCCTATAACTACCCCGCAGTCCCCCCGCGCCTCGGCCCATTAAGCGCCGCCTCGAGGTACGAGGGTGAGAAATGATCGGCCGCTAATGCTAATGAATATCAGCTCGTTGTACCGGGACGGCGCGGGAGGGTTGTTTGGAGCTCGGGAGCCCCACTTTTGAGCATGACCGCGTGACGACGAGGGACTACCCGTAGCCGCTTTTAAGAAAATTGCTGACAGAGGGGACTGCCCCGCCGCTGTTTTCCCCTGATTAGCCGAAATTACACGATTTCCCGGCCTAAACGCGCACATTCCGCCCGCATCCCTCATTTGCGGCCGCGGCCGATTCCGACGATACACCGACATACACCCCGGGCTCAATTAAACGAGAGCCACCCGGGTCCTTAACGTCCCCGGAGTTAAGCATGATCTTGATTAACTCCGCGCGACGCTCGTTAAAGATCACATCCGAGCTAAATATATCTAATCTTTAATATAAATACACGAAATATTTTCCAATTATATATGACGTCGAAAACAGATATTATTTTCAGTTTTTTATTCTAAGTAGAATATTTCAATCATCAATTATCTAAATTGTAAATTACTGATCAAGACGACAGAAGTCTTGTTTGTTTACACATCATTAGGTTATCATAGTTATCTTCTATTATCAAGCGGTAACATTAGACAATCTTATTTAAATCTCTGAATGTAAAGGGATTAAATTACTTGAAAAAAGTGATAAACTTACCTGTTTGTGCATTTCAACATTGAGACCGTATGACATCTCGTAGTACTGCAACAAGAAGATACTGTTTAGTTTACATAAAGTATTCCGCAGGGACGTAAAGTATTATACGGTTAAAATATTAAACGGCACACGGTTATAAATGCGGGAGAAACATATCGGAAAATTATTGCGTTTCGAAGTACGCGATCGTAAGACCATCTACATCCGAACTAGGTTGACGACCGCGTACATGCGGGCACGACCATAAATTGGCCAGCTGCCGCTCGAGTGTCAAACGTTCGAGAGACGCATTATTCGCAAACCGAGCTTTTCCAAAGCCGCTATACCTCAGATCTAAATGTGCAAAAAAGAAAAGTCACTTAAAAAATTAGAGAGTTTCGCGACATTTCATTTTCACGGTCGCATTTTGTGACGCAGCTATTTCCCGCGTGTTTCTCTCGGAATACAATTTGATACCGGAAGCCCCTTTAGGGGCCCGCGTCTTTTTCCCAATTTAAAACGGGACGTATGTCGAGGTGCGGAATTCTCGAGACATGTCGAATCGCTCGGGAGTGATCGATGGATCGACGGGCGCGATCTTCTCACGCCGTCGGCATTCTCGTGGGCGAATTTCTGCGGGTGAGGGCGAGACCAAAGGGGGCCCGCAGTAGTAGTTGCCGTTCGATCCGACGCGTACATGCGTCTCGGTAAACTGCATCCGAACGATGCAGTCCAGTGGATGCGCTTGCGCGATCGTAAATTGACTAGTGGCTGTCGCTTAGCGCCGCGCGCGTCCGCCTTTAGCCGCTCTCATTCGGAGACGAATGGCTTCAGGGGAGGTGGTTTGCCGAGAGCACGAGAGAACGAGAGAACGAGAGAGAGAGAGAAAGAGAGAGAGAGAGAGAGAGAGAAAGCGAAGAGAGAGAGACAGAAAGGGAGAGAAGGTGCATTACACACGTCAAGCCAGGCTGGGAGATACTCGGGCCTGGAGATCGATAGCATCGGCCACGGAAATATACCGACTTAATAATGCAGTCGATAACTACGCCTGGCGAACTTGGGGCAAGGCACGCGCGAAGCCTTCCTCCTTTGCGCAACATTTCCGGAGAGTCCTCCTGTCCACGTTGATACGGCGATCGTATCTCGCACGACAAGCACAGAGCTCGATAACACATTTCCTCTCGATAGCTCTCGGCAGCTCACAAAAAAAGTGCGCGCGATCACTGTCGCGATAGGTAAAAAGCGCTAATAATTTAAAGTCGGAATAGCAAATGTAATCGGTCCCTCGCGTGGTTGTTTATCTGTTCTTCCGTTCTTTATCACTTCTTCTCCAGCGCTGTATTCCTATCTTCCGTTTCGCTCTCGCGTGATCGCAGGTAGAGCGAGAAAGTTCGCTTCGCGATCGTCGACGTTTATTTGCGTCACGAATGCTTTGCGCACTTTGACTTAACCAGAGGAAGGCAAGATGTCGACATAAGCCGGTAAATGACAAGAAAGCTCTCTCTTAATGACAGAGAGAGAGAGAGAGAGAGAAAGAGAGAGAGTTCCGATATCGATCTCATCTGCCAGTCTCTCATTTTCTATTTTCACATGCCTGGGAACTCAATAATAGGAGTTGTACCGATAATTTCGCCCCCTCCGATTACTCGATATGGATCTTTTAGTAGCGAGCCTTTGATAGGATGATTGGACGACCTCGTTCGTCGCTCTCTCGACATTTTTCCTCGTTTCGTCCCTTTTCCTTCTCTCTTTGTCATTCCTTTCTCTCTTTACGCTCTCCTTTCTAGTTGTAGGACCGCACTTCGATTCAGTCTGTCGCCTCTCCCGTCCTCTCTCTCTCTCTCTCTCTCTCTCTCTCTCTCTCCCCCCCCCCCACATTGCCATTTTCCTTTTTCGCTCGCATCCACTCTTGACTCAACTCGCGGAAATTTACACGCTGCGCCCGCGGATAATTAAAGGATAATTAATAAGCCGTGCCGGGCGCGAACCGATGCGTCTGCGAGTAGTAACGCGAAATTTTTCTCTTCCAGCTTTTTACATTTTATATTTTTGAGAAAGAACTCATAAATTATAAAATACGGAGAATACCAATTATCACAAAATGCCGTAGAAACTTTTTCAATTTTCGAATATAAGTTATAATAAAAGTATTTTAAAACAATTTGAATTTCTATTTTAACCGTAGAATAACATTAATTTATTATATTAATAATATGAGATAATACCGGCTCGAAATATACAGATGTGCCAGGGTTAACAAATATTTTTTTATTTTACCTCTAGAACCGATAGTGCGCGAAGATATTTTTAACGCATAAAGGAACAATATCGCCGACCGAACACCCGTCAGAATCGAAGCGTCACGGAGCAAAAATTTTGCTAGTGTTGATGAAAAAAAATTTTTTCGAGAGAAGGACAACGTAGCACAGGAGGATAGAAATGCAATCTGCCAGGTATATCCGCGCGCGCGTATAGTTGAGGGGTGGAAAGCAAACGGCGAACCGTGGAAACAGGAGGAAAACAAAGAGTAATCGAGAAGCGTGCCCCAGGGATGTGGGTTACGTTTAATTTGTTGCAGCGCGAAAAAACGCGGCGGAGAAAAAACATAGATAATTGGAAAGTCTTCTCGTTCGCAGGCAGGTCGGAGATGCGCAACGACCTCGGGCCCGTTTTCGATAAGGTTTTTTTCATTCTATTCCCTCCCTCCTCTCTCCCCTTTTTTGTCCCTCATCCATCGAATTTTCCTTCTCGTTTTTCCTCGCCAGCTCGATCATTACATTCGCGTATCGAAAATCAAATTAATTTTCTGACGGCCCGGGGATTCGGAGCTTTCCGCTTGTGCCCCGTCTGTTTTTGACGATACGTAATGGCACCAATCTTCCTCCCCCCCTCCACCTCCCGCCTTCAGAATATAGGGTTGAGGGACGCATTCGTCGAGGGGACTATTTCATTCAAAGACTACATTTTAGACAATTAATTCACCGCTGATGCACCGCAATCTGTCGCGATAAAAATATGAAACTCTTGCGAGTAATCGAACGGAAGACAATTTGCAAGGCAGCAAAGATTCGCATACGATAATTGAAAGTATGCAAATGTTTATATATTTTCAAGAGCATTAGAATTGTTTATTTTCATTATAAATTTCAGTATAAATTAAAAACAAATCATTTTATAAAGGATAAAACAAAGAGAAAACGCAGAAAATTTTCGAGAAAATGTTAAAGTTAAATTATTTTAATTTTTCGTGATATATATTTTTCAGTACAAAATATAATTTTTCGAAATATCTTTCTCCAAGTTTGAATGGTAAAAATATAAATTATCGATAAAGAAAGATCAAATAGTAAAATTAAGATCGAATTTTTATAAACTAAGAATTCGTACGTTCTCAATTTGCCAATATTTTATATATTTCTTTCTAGATATATATGTCTAAATATATTCATAGAAATTCTAAGATCGATGAAAACGCAAATTGAATTCGCGCAATTCAAAACGCATTAAACATCTACTAAATCAAACTAAATAAATTAAGTACAAGTGTATCAATCAAAATTCCTGGAAGCGTGACATGATTGGCGATATCTCGACGAGAGAAGGGAAAGATATCGCGTAACGACACAGAAAGGCGATGATCCGTAAGACGGAGCGGACAAAAGAGTGAAGCGAACCAGAGTGAGGAAGAGAGGGAAGGAGGGAGAGTCGGGGTGGAAGGGGCAAAAATTGAAGCAGCGCACGGATTTACGCGGCGCGTTACCCTAATGAAAATCGCGAAGGATGAAGTTGCGCGCGCGTGGCGGCGGTGGCGGTGGTGGCGACGGCGGAAAGAGATGAAGAGGAGAGGCGGTTCGGAATACACGAGGGTGGAATTAGAATATCAGAGACACGGCTGGCATAGCGTCGTATACGTACTATGTGTGTGCGCGCGCGCGCGCGCACACACACACACACACACACACACACACACGCACGCACGCACGCACACGCACACACGCACACGCACACATATCAACGCTCCTCGTCCGCGCGCGTCTCCGGCTTGCACGTATATAATACTTGTCGGTGGTTGACAAACCCTCGACATCAATTTCTCTCTCTGTCTCTGTAATTCGCCCCCTCTTTCTCTCGTATCTCTATCTATCTCTTCCTCTCTCCCTTTTCCCTCGACGCGAGTCTTGCTTCTCTCTTCCCCGCTACTTCTATCATTCCACTCTCCCTCCCCCTCCCCTTCCCCACCCCCTCGATCCCTCCAACTGCTCCTCCACCTCCTGTTGCCACCCCCTTCTCTATCTCTCTCTTCGTTTACTTTGGAGATATCGATTACCGGCTCAACTCCCAACCCCCATCAACCCCTCTGTCACCTCCGACCCCCCCTTATCCACTCCCTCTAGCATCCCCGACTCCCTTCCACTCGGCCCAGCTTGCTGCTTGGTTGCTTGCACGGTGTCACATCGGTGTAGCAGTTTACAGAGATAGTATAGTTCGCGACAATTACGATCGGCCGTACAGCAGACAGTGGTGTAGGACCACGGAATCCAAGGATACGTGGCTTTACGGTAACGACATCGATCTGCCGAATGCGGTTGATTTTCCGAGGAGGAGTTCTTAAGTCGCGCGTGTTTTAACGGTGTAAATGGAGCTCGCGTAAAACGAGCGCAATTTTCGCATGCAAAATACTATCGGCCTTTCGCATTTGGATTTGCATTTCTTAGGAATGCATTAACTAACGCGCGCAAATCCGAGTTACCCGTATTAGAACACTCCGTTTGGACTCACTTCGAAAATTAACGGATAGAAATGGAACGTTTCAAAAATTACAGCGACGCGTTTCCGCGATTATTTATAATGTTAATATTAAACTGATAATCAAGTATACCAAGTACCAACAAATAGAATGTACATAATAAATATTAATAAAAATTAGATTAACAGATTAATATCGGAATATTTTAATAAAATTTTCTCATAATTTTAATACGATTCTCTAAATTCCTTGAATTATTACTAATATAATAATAATAATAATAATAATAATAATAATAATAACAGTTAACGTTAGACTCGCTGTATCGGTTTCATTTTTCATCTCTACATAGAGTCCTAAAATTCTGAAAGGCACCCTAGTAAACATTCGCAATATGCCTTTAGCTCGGCTGAAATTTGCGTCTATTGAGCATAACGGGGTTATTGAACCCTCCAATCCGTGCTGTTCGCTTTCGTATCTCGAAAGCGGTTTGCAGAAATGCATAAGCACTGTGCCTGCGAGAGCGCATTCCCGTGCAACGTTGAGTTCGTATCGAGACACAAGATTTTGTTCCGATCCCGCTTAATTTTTATTTCCGCAATAGTCGCTCGTGTCTCTCGCAAGTTTAACTTTACTATAGAAAACGAAAAGCGCTATAGTATTTAAAAATATTCATGCAGATTTTCAAATGACGTCCGCACCGATAAGATTTATTATCAGAATTTAAAAGGAGAAACACACGTTCGAGTGTATTTCGCAAATTTACACACACCGCGAGTTTTATACGCGAATTCTAAGAAAGCGCTTGACTACAATCCGATGCGTGACTTTTTGCAGCAGCCATTCACGATGAAACGGGTGAGCCAATATTTCATTCGGAGCATTCAATTTCCGGTATCAACGCGTCTGGTGTATCGCTTCTGAAACGAGATCTGGGACCAAATTTCTCAATGCAAACCACGATCCAAATGAAATTGAATATAATTACTTAAAATATCAAATATCATCTTAAAAAAGAATTAAAAAAGAAATTATATTTGAAATGTGAATAAAGTGCAGAGACGTATATGTGCCTCGCAATTCCCCAAACAAATTATAATCGTCTCGATTTCAAATAACACTCTCTCTCTCTCTCTCTACAGTCCTGTAAAAAGGAAAAATTTATCGTAGGGATAACAATAATAACATCCAGCTCGCCTTGTGCGAAGAAGAAGGGAGCAACGGGAAACGGATACTTTGGACCATGTTAGTACTGCACTTTAATATAGGTAGTCCAAGTTAAGCTCCTTACCGATGACGATACGATTAGTACGGTTGACTGTACTAATTGCCTTCGCACTGATCGTAGCTAAATCGAAGAGGAGCCGGCAATACGAAGCGAAAATAATATCAATCGTCTCACTATACCCGGAGAGAACGGCTTGCACTGTTCTCTCGTTTACGTAATGTCCTGATCTTTCATGGCTCGCGTTATCGATAAATAGCCGTGTGCCTAGCGTGTGTTCTCGCGTGTCGATACGAATGCAAGTCGAGAGAGGCTCCTCGAAGATTTCCTCGCGATGCACGCGAGGCCGATAATCGAATTTCATTTTTATTTTTAACGACCACGTCAATTTCCGCGCAAGTTGCGGAAAACGCCGGATTAAATATTCGTCGAAACTCGAGAAGAGCAGCGGCGGCGCTCTCTCTTTTTCCCTTACTTTTGGATACAAAGTTTCTTACGATATTCTATGGGAGCTTGTTTGCTTGTTGTTGCATCTCGCGCATAAAAGGATTATCGAACACCGAGAAGGATAGCGCTACGAGTATCGCCGACATTTTCACGATTAAGGAACTAAATTGTTGTCGGAGTTACTCTTTCTCTCCCCTCCCCCCCTCTCTCTCTCTCC